CTATATCTATCTATATCTATATCATCTATATCTATATCTATATCTATATATATAAAACAACATCCTTTTTTCACTCTGTTGTGGTGGGCTGTCCATAACCTGATTGCCTGGTTTACAAGCATTCTTGTGTCTGTCAAGTTTGTTTGTTTGTTTTTTCTGAATTCCCTAGTGCCAAGTCTCTCACCCCATGAAGTCTTTGGTATCTACAGTTGTCCTTTCTATTTCGATGTCTTCAAGTCTTTTCATTTCTGCCACAGAGTGCAGACATTCAGTACATACTGAGCAGGGACATACAGTGTTTGTCTTTCATAGTCTCCCTTAGTTTCTTTAGCATTAGATTTTCTAGATTTGTTAATTTGTATCAAATGACAGAATCTCTCTGTTCTTTATGGCTGAATGGTATTCCACTATGTATATATGCCACATTCTTAAAAATCTGGTCATCAATAGTTGGACACTTAGGTGATTCTATGTCTTAGTTATTGTGAATAATGCTGCAATAAACATGTATATGCAAGTGTCTTTCTGTCTGAGTTATTTTCTGTCCTTTGGGTAAATACCCCAAAGTGGGATTATTGGGTTATATGGTAGTTCTATTTTTAAATTTTTGAGGAACCTCCATATTGTTTTCCACAGTGGCTATACTTATTTATACTCCCATCAGTAGTGTAGGAGGGTTCCCTTTTCATCACAATCTCCCCAGCACTTCTTGTTCTTTGTTTTGTTTTTTATCACAGTCATTCTGACTGAAGTTAGGAAATACTTCTCTGTGGCTTTGATTTGCATTTCCCTTATGATAAGAGATGGCAAACATTTTTCATATGTTTCTGGCTCTTTGAATATCTTCCTTTGAGAGTTGCCTATTCAGATCGATTGCCAATTTTTAAGTTTAATTCAAAGTTGGAGTATTGGGCCAGCTGTGGTATAGTGGTTAAGGTGGCTGGATCCCACATGGCTGAATGTGTGGTTTCAATCTCAGACACGGCAACTTGAAAAACATTCCATGCACATGTGTGTACATGCCCAAAATCCTAAGAGTAGAATGGAAGAGAAGGGACTACAGTGTGGCCATTCCCCCCTGTGGGGTGCTTTTTCACTTTTCTTCTTTTTCTCTCTCTCCCCAGTGAGTGCACATGTCCTATAGCAAATTCAAAGAAAAAAATGGATTATTAGTTTTTCTATGGGCAAACTGCTTGAGTTCCCTATATCTTCTGGTTATCAACTCCATATATGATATATAGTCTCCTTGTTATCTCCTTATTACACAGAAATTTCAAAATTCAAAAATTACTTCCCCCATACTTAGAATTATTGAAAAATATTTTTAGACTATATAACTTTTCTGTTGTTATCAGATAATGATCCCTAATGTAGCTTAAGCCTTAACTACTTCCTACCCTACCTCAAACTCAAGTAGTTCTTCCTTCTTTTCAATATCAGGAGTGATTGGATATAGACATGCAGACATCTAATACTTCATATATCAAAAACGAAAGTCTATAAAGTGTTCTTGGAGGCAATGTCTCTATTATAAATTTCAGTGCCAATGGTCAAAACTACTTCATCTGAAATTATTTTAGAGTTAATGAAATATCTATATATAATTCCATCAATAGCAATAAACCTAAGTTATTTGAGGATGAGTGTTAATTTTAGAGTAACTAGGAAATTCTTTTTCTTCTGAAACATAAAGTAAATCTAAAATAGTAGAGACTCACTTGACTTTTTGAGAAATGGCATGGTGTAGAGAACGTGGGATTTAGCTAGACCTGGATATGAATCCAAGCTCTTTTCCTCCTAGTTTTATAAATTTGGTCAAGTAATACACATACAAGATGCTCATTTTCTTCTCATTAACATGCCAACAGTTAAAACCTTGACATTACAGGGTCTTGGGTCCAGGTGTTTCCTCTACCAATGCAAGTGTAAGAACCACAGAATGCCTCATAAGGACTTTTCTCACCCCCTCTACTTTACTTATAGATGGATTCTGACAGCAGTTCCCAAAGAAGGATTCAGAAATACAATAAGCAATTTCACCAGTACTGAAATAAATGGATAATACCCAAAGGTACTACTTTAGAGATAACGCTTATTTGGATGTGTAAGTTTTAGTTTACTTGCTGAAAATACAATGGAGACAACTTAACCCTGGGGTGCAGGACTAACAGCCGCAGCAGCAACAGCTACCATATGTTGTATGTCGATGTTGTATACCACCAGGATAAATCCTGTATCTATGTGGGTGATGTATATTAGTTCATTTATTAATTCATTTATTCTTCCTTAGGGCTCAGTGAGATACATGCTATGTATTTTGTTGTTGTTGTTGCTGAGGAAATCAAATCACAGAGATTAAGAAAATTGTTCAAGATCAAAAACAGTGACTATCAATGCTGAGATTTTTTGTCCTGAAGTTCAGCAAATGTTAATAGAATACTAAGGGAAAATTACTTATGTTACAGTTCTTATTTATTCTCACTTGCAAGGGTTTGCAACAAGGACTGAGTATTTATTATGGCTTGGAAAGAAAACAGGTGGTATGACACATTCAAAGTCAGCATGCCTGAATGGAGTTGGTCTACAGAAGAACATAAGAAAGTCTGAAGCACATGCTCTGAATGTTTAAATTGGCCTTAGTATGTCACAAGCCATGATTTTGAGTGACTTAATCTATATGTTACTATGACTATTTTGATGAATTGTGGTCTATAATTAAAAATTATTTTTCCCAAGTGTGAAAATATCCTTTGTTCCCAAAGGATCAAAAGTACTATAGAAAGGGCCTTGTTATTCAAGTCTAAGTTCTATTTAGTTTATTAATTTAAAGAATCACAGAGGCCAAGCCTTCCAAGGCTGAAATGCAATGACGAGGAGCAGGTAGGGAGTAGCCATGGCCACCCAGATGGACTACAGTTACCAGTCATATTCCCAGCAACACAAATCTGGCTCAGAAATCAGCTGGATGAGGGGCCAGCAGTTAGCGTAATGGCTACATTGCTGGACTCCCATGTAGTTGACTGCGGTTCACATACCAGACCCGGTGGCTTAAAACTCATGCCGGGCGCATGTACGCCCAAGATCCCAAGATCCCAAGAGGAGAATGGAGGAGAAGGGATTGCAGCGTGGCCATCTCTCCTGGGGGTTGATTTCTCACTTTCTGTCTCTCTGTCTCTCTCTGTCTGTCTGGCGAGCGCATGCGTCCTATAGCAAAAAACCTCTCCAAAAAAAAAAAAATCAGCTGGATGATATGAGGATGAAAGAAATGGGCTACTGGTCAGGGTATCTGTTTGGACCCATTGTTATTTAATACCGGAAAGCCAAAATGCAACTCTGACATTGTTCTGCCTCTTACAGGTTTCTGGGCTGATGCCTGAACCCTTAGCTTTGTCTTTAACCTGAGGTGAGCTACGAAAATAATCAAATTGAACTTTAGCTTTTGACTGTGATACAGAGGAAGAATTCATCCAGCTGAGATCAGAGTGATATGCACTCATTTCTAGCATCAAGGAGGTTACTGACCTTCCTAAAAGGGACACCATCTGAAACATACTACAACTTGTTTTTTTGAATGTTTACTACGTGTGAGGCACTGGGAACTCAAGAGTGAGAACAGTCTAAATGCTTTTATTCATAACACTTACATTCTACTGGGGGAAGATAAGGGGTGATAAGACAATTTTTTTAAATGAGGGCTTTATATGGTGATTCATATTTAGAAAATAATAAAACAGAGTAATGTGCTAGAAAGTGCCAGGGTATAGGTGAGATTAGATGGTATCAGATGGCATTTCTGAGAAGCTGGTATTTTTTGCTGAGATACGCATGATTCAAAGGTGCCAGCTAAGCTAAGATTTGGGGGAAATTCTTGTACTTGCTGTTCCCTCTGCTAAGAATGAGCCTGGATTAATTAAGTTACAGGAGCTGGTAGTGTGGCTGCAATACAGTGGATGAGGGAAGATAGTAAAAATTTAGACACAAAGGTAGCCAAATCATCTATGATGGAGCAAGCCAGCAAAAGAGGAGATGAGATTTTTAAAAGAGAGGGGAAACCACTGGAGTATTCAAGCTTAGTACTGATAAAGTCCGATTTGAATTTTTAAAATATACTTCTAGTTGTTGTAAAGGAAATGGATTTTGAGATAATAGGGTGGAATAGAGAGAGGGTAAATTCTTGGAGTGATCTAGACAGCTACGGAGATGGGTTTAAGTGCATTAAGTTGGAATGAGTTTTGGAGGTAAAAACTTCAAGGACTTGCAGATGACTTAGACATGAAGGTGAGGGAAAAGGAAAAACAAAGTCCTCCTGGAATTTTGATTTCAACTGAATGGATGGTTGCGTTTTTCATTGAAGTTGGAAAAACTTAGCTAAGGATTGTTTGCAGTGGGGGTACTGAAGATGAGTGCTGCATTGGCCACATGAAGTTTGACACCCCTGTCAGGGTGTGTGCTGAGCAGATAGATAGACACGTATGTCTCCCTCCAAGAGGAGAACGAGGCTATGGCTGGAGATAAATCCTTGGAAATTTGGAAATGATTATCTATAGGTGAGATTTAAAGTTGGTCTTTGCTGTTGGCAACAGAGGAAGAGAAAAGGAAATGATGATTAGAGAATGTCCACATGGAAGAGCACAATGAGTGACTGTGTCTAGAGGGAACCAGCAAAGGCAATACCTTCCTTCTTAAGATCTATCAGCCACCAACCCAGCTTCTCCAGCACTTTCTAACACAACTGTTCAGTAACAATCAACAGAAGTCCCTTAGGAAATGCTGCTCTGACAGAGCCATGATCTTCCTTGTGAAAGTAACTCAGTCTGTCCTTCAGAGATGCAGATACCTTGATGTAGTCTAATAACAGGAACAATTGGACACACAGGCCAGAAGACCACTTCCTAACTCTAAGTCATGCCTTCTTCCCCTAACCCACCTTCACCCAGACCCACAAACCCAAACAGGCAAGCATCTGGTTGGAATTGGTGATGAAATGCCAAAGGACTCACCACTCGAAGTCCCAGTCAGCACAGACACAGGGTTCTGAGACCACTGACCCTGAGTAGTCTCGGCCCAAGGCACACTGGGCTCCCGGCTTGCGTTTCTTGAATATTTTCCTTTCTCCCATGACACAAGGCTCTCCCTTAGAGAGAAAGTCCATAGTGAGAGAGGCAGAAAAAATACAGAGGAGGCAAAATAAACTAGCCTCTCAAGAAGTATTAGCCTTTTCCTTCTCTTTTAGTCTCTTTGTCGAAGTCTCATTCCTATTAACTATCTTAGAGTTTCAAGAATAAAAGCATTGTTTTCTTAAATTACCATACAAAAAGAACAACTATGGGAGGCTGACCCACTGCTCCTCATTCATTCACTCTAGCCTGTGATGAGTGATGTCTACACTGCCCTGTTCCTGTTCCACCTCCACAGAGATGCAATGACTCTAGACATCCTCACAGACTACCAGGCAAGTTCCCACAAGATTTCAGTGGCAATTCTAGTAGAAAGGAGCCCACATATGAAATATTTCTCTATATCATCTTCAGAGTAACATTAAAGTTGACCCCAAAAGTGCCGTCACATGATAAATGACCATACCTAAGTGCTAATTCTTTGTCAAGGAAAAAAGAAGAGAAGTTGGCACAAATTATAAGGACCCCATGGTTCTAAAGAATGCAGAAACCTGCCTGTGTTGTGTAGCATTAAATATTTACCTTCTCTAGAATGACTCATCCTTGCACCCTTTCTCAGTGTTCCTGGTCCCATTGTTCTGGGGCTCTTATTTCAAGCTAGCCAGAAAAATGCTCTCACCATACGTATTGGCAGGTAGGATAAGAAAATTGCTGAAGACCTTCCTACTATCTGATGCTCATTTTTCCTTACATAGAGATAAAATACTAGGTTAACATCATCATTTCTCCCTAAGGCACTCTGACTTCAATGAGTAAATGGGTTCCAGGGTGCAAAATGCTCCTTTAATATCATCTACCCCCCCCCCTGCTGCCCTCGGATGTGTTTATTCCTTCCCCAAACTCCACACTCACATCTTCGGATGGCCCACTGCCTTCCTCCCGAAAATAGGAAGGCCTAAATAAGACCAAAGCAGGTTGCAGTAACTCCTCTTCCTAGAAGCCAGCGTTCTCCCACCCTGTGGTGTGGTGTACCTGATTAAGCAGGTGCCAGGTCTGATAGTCCTCTTTGGTGCAGCGTCGGCTGAAGATAGATTTGTAGTCCACTTTCACCAACTGCCATTCAGAGCGGAGGCTGAAGTGGCCAAAAACTCTAAGTGTTTAGAGAAGGGATGGGAAGAACAAGTGGATAAGGCCTCACGGTCAGTCATAAAAGCACAATAACAGGAGTGGAGCTAGAGGATTTCACTACAGCTCTTACTTTACCTGTTCTTTCAAAGTGGGTTTCTTAAAGGTACTAAGGAGAAGGTCCACTGTCCACACAAATCCAACCAGTGGGCATGGCATGTATAGCGGATTTAAAATCAACCATTTTTCAAATTGCAAAAGTAATTGTGTGCTTTACAGGAAGCATTTAAAATATAGAAAGCACGAGGAAGGAAAAATTTCACCCAAGAGTGCAAAATCCAGCACCCAGAAAATCATTGTCCATAGGGTGACACACAGCCTTGTTATTTCTTCCTAAGGCAAAAATTGGCATTTTATTGACCCAGGCTCACCAACAGGGACTCAGTTTCCTCATCTATAAAGTGGATTGCATATGTGTGTGTTGCAGGGGGGTGCGGATTACTTCATCTAAAATATGACCCTGCCGATTCCAAAATCCCATCTGCATCTAAATGTGCTTTAGTTGAAATTCCCACTGCTTAATTCACATCAATATACACACTCCCTCCTCTGGCCCTGAAAAATCACAGTCTCATAAAAGAAACTCATATTTATGTATAGTAAAGAAGCACACCATCTGTGTGACTTAGATAATCAATACTGACCTTTTCAAAGCCCAGCAGTTGATAGCCCTATAAATATGAATGATCAATCGTTTCTAGAAAAATAGAAAAAAAGACTGATCATCCATATTCTACTCTGGTGGCATGTCTTGCAATTACAATGCAAGACATCTATCACAGTGATGTAAAGGGGAGACCGATGATGCCAAGAACTTAAAACAACTGAAGTCTTACAAGGAATTAGATGGCTTTCATCCCAGCCAGACTTAATTACACAACGGTCCCTGGATTTTCCCCTGCCCAAGTTCAGCTATTCTTGTGGTGACACCAAAGAGGCTATCTCTCTCTGCTCATGGGACATTTTTCTCTGTTATCTGAAGGATGAGGATGCTTCTGGGAGGGGTGGGGACGAACAAAACAGTGAAATGGGAAGAAACAGGATTGTTTCTGTAGATCATACAATTTAAAACAGACTCCAGAAAACAACTATGCATGAGCTGTCAGTTGAAAATTCAGAAAAGCAGGCCAGTAGGTGGCATAGTAGTTAAGACGCTGGACTCACACATAGTCAACTGCAGTTTGAGTCCTGGACCTGGCAGCTTGAAACTCATGCCAGGCACGTGTGTGTGCATGTATGCCCAAAATCCCGAGAGGAGAGTGGAGGAGAAGGAATTGTTATGTGGCCATCCCCCCCTCCTCCGGGGGTGACTTTTCACTTTCTATCTCTCTGTCTTTCTGGAGGGCACATGTACCCTATAGCAAAAATATCTATTAAAATTTTTTTAAATAAATAAAAAGAAGTTCACAAAGGCTTTTTAAAGTCTTCTCTAAAATAAGACTAAACAGACCTTGAGGAAGCAACTGAGAGTCTCTCTCTCCTTTAGTAAAACTGCATGATCTTTGTATAAATCTCAGCTCAGCACTGGGTAGGAGAAGCCCTACTCCACAAATGCAGTTGATACTGTGTGGGACAAAATGACCCTAACTTGTCTCTCCCCTGGGCTCTCTCTATTTTCTTGCATTCTTGCTAAATCCAGTGGTTTTCAAGTCTAATATTTCTAAGGCAGGTCATCACTAAGTTATTTCCATCTTTTAGTTCTGAATTCATTTCATGCAGAGGTCACAAATCAGTCGATCTTAAATCTTTAACAAAATAGCTCCCTCTTATTATAAATTTCCACTTGTTTGAAGAGAGGAGAGTTAAGTGGATAAGCTCATCAGAGAGGAAAAAAAAAAGCTAAACAATGGAAGAAGACCTTACAAATGTCTTCCCTTTCTAGCTCGCCTATAAAAATCCTCCTGCTTTTGAATCCTACTTTGTCTATTAAGTCTTCCCTGACTAAAGTACTCTTGAGGAGCAGGATGTTAGTGATGCTAAACAAGACAATTCTGCCTACTCCAAATAATTTACAGCTATTTCATAATCACAACATACATCATGCCAGATTAATCCCATTCCTTTCTATGAAAAGATTACTAAGCAGCCAGAAAAGGGAATTATGAGGCATATGATTTACCTGGATGTCAGCAAAGCATTTGATAGGGTCTGCCATAGCAGTCTTAAAGAAAATATTAAAAAATATGAGCCAGGTGCTAGTAAAATAATGTGGCTTTAACAGAACCTAATTAAGATATTAAAATCATTCCAGGAGGGAGGTATGAGTAGCTGGTTCTTTCTTGTTCGTCACTTTTGTTAATGACTTGAGAACTTTAAAAATAACGGTCATCGATGGAAATTGAACTTCCTAATGACATAAAGCTGGAAGGAACAGTCAATACACTCGATGGCAAAATCAGGACCCAATAAGGTCTTCACAGACTAAAGAGATAGGCAGACTTTAATAAAATGTGATGTGATAGGGGGAAATGTAAAATCCTCTTCCCGGTCATCACTAAGTATTGGATAAAAGAAGCTTGGTGCAGCTCAGGTTAAATAATAATAATAATAATAATAATAATAATAATAATAATGGCATAAGAGTTTCCATACACTATGTGATCAATGTAAGTGAACGCTTCAGTAAGACCTACAGTATTCAAGGTGATGTTTAAGTATGCCCACAGAATCACGGATTTTATCTAGAGCAAAAGAAGTAACATTAACAGGTCACAAAGAAAAAACTTTAGTTTTTGGATGTTGTCATTCAAGAAGGATATATTCTAAGTGTCTCAATTTATATTACACATTTGTGTTTTGGCAGTGGTAAAGTTTGAATCTGAAATTTTAAACAAAAATATATGTTTATTGGCAGAGAGGTGGTTATCTATGAATAAATCACATATGTTTAATCAGATTATTCATAGGGGGTTCATAGTTACCAAAGGTTAAGGAAAATTGAAAAAGAGAGTGATTAGGATAGTTGTACTTTGGCGGGGGGTGGGGGGCAGCAGATGATGCAGTGGCTATGTCACTAGACGCCCATGTGGATAACTGTGGTTCAAGTCTCAGACTTAGTGGCTTGAAAATCATACTGGGTGCTTGTGTGTGCCCAAGAACCAGGGAGAAGAATGGAGGAGAAGGGATTGTGGTGTGGCAAACTGCCCCTGCAGGGTGATTTCTCACTTTTCCTTTCTCTGTCTCTGTCTCTGTCTCTCTCCCCAGCAAAGGTACGTGCCCTAAGACAAAAACTTCTTAAAAGAAAAATAAATAAAAGGTGGTACTGGGTTAAAAAGTGGCTTCCAATAAAATATGTCAACAAACTGTTTTCAGGAACTGTGAATGTGATCTTATTTGGAAAAAACGTCTTTGCAGATGTAGGTAGGTTAAGGATCTTGAGATGAGAACATCCTGGCTTATCAGGGTGGACCCTAAATCCAATGACAAATATCCTTAGAAGAAACACGAAAAGGAGGCACACACAGTGAGAGAAGGCCAAGTGAAGACTGGAAAAGTGGAGTGATGAAGCTGCAAGCCAAAAAATGCCTTGAGCCAACATAAGATGGAAGAAGCAAATAATGAATTCTCCCTTGGAGGCCCAGAGAAAGTGTATCCTTGCTGATCCTTTGACTTTGAACTCTGGCCTCCAGAACTGTGAGAGAATACACCTTCTAAACCACCCAGCTTGGGGCATTTGTTGCAACAGCCACAAGTAACTAGCACAGATGGTAACATGATTTGCAACTACTTTCCACCTATCTATCTATCTATCTATCTGGGAAGTGCTATAAGAAGAGGAAGGGTTAGGGAAGAGAAAAGCAATAGGTGGGGATTCTAGGGATAGTTCTAGAATCTCAAAAATAACAAAGAGGGACCAGCAGTTAGCATAATGGCTATGTCGCTGAACTCCCATGTAGTCAACAGCGGTTCGAGTCCCGGACCAGTTGGCTTAAAACTCACACCAGCCCATGTGCGTACATGCCTAAAATCCTGAGAGAAGAATGGAGGAGAAGGGATTGTAGCATGCCATCCCCCCTGGGGGGGGGGGCATTTCTCGCTTTCTGTCTCTCTGTCTCTCTCTGTCTTCCTGGTGAGCGCAAGTGCCCTATAGCAAAAATCTCTTCCCCCAAAAGATAACAAAGATAAAAGTGTGAAAACTTACAAAATGTGAGAAACAACAGACAATTGTGCCTATAGGACAAGGTATGCTTGAGAGGTAGTAAGTGTAGCCCTTCAAGCTCAGGCGTGCTCATTCCTAGGTCTGATTTTAAGCAGGATGCCGGCATTGCCCAAGTGTACTGCATAATTTACCCTGAGCCTCTAAAACTTCCATGCTCTTGGACTTCCTAACTTTTTAGGATATCCATTTCTGATCTCAGAATACTCATTTCAGGACTGCACACAGGAATAGATGATCAGTCAAGACTTGTGGATTAGTTCAGGATTTTTTTTTTCCTTTGGTCTTGGCAGGTACATTTTTTTCATCTCCATTACTTTGGCTTCTATCCCAGATTTACTTACACTGTGTTCCCCAGGTCTTTCCCCAAACTGTAAATTGATACACTAATATTGTCATTTGAGTGTGTGCTAGTCTCTTCTCCTTTGTAGTTACTTTTATATACCAGATGCAAAACTTTTATTATTAAACATTGTACGGATATAAACTTTTGCTTATTTTCTCAGTGGGCCTCAATTAAGAGGTAAAACCCCCTAACAAGTTTTAGGCATTAATATACTCCCCATTTTTCCATTCATTCTCAGTTCTGGGAAGAACAAAGTTTATGATGGATCCCCTGGTGGAGCATTAGCGACTCAGACACATGGTCTCTCTTTTGCACACGTGACTTCCCTAATTCTATTTAATATCACATTCATTCATTGATCACTCAACTCAAGCTAAGGAAGCTGAATAGATGACAGAATAGCAAAACAGGAGATAAAATAAAGACTAATTTATATTATAGCATTTCTCCCCCTTTTCCATAA